TATATTCTGAAGCAAAGAAGAACGCAAAAAAACAAAACAAACAAAAAACAAGGGCATTTAGAAGCAATCAGCCCTAGGACACGATGGCCTTCAAGACCAGAAGAACTAGATGGTGTCTGGCTACCAATGCCAACCACTCAGGAAAGGATCAAATCTGGAGACCCTGGGTAGAGTGGGAGGGAAAACATGGAACAAAATCCAAAAACTCAATAATGACCAGAATTACTGGTCAGAGGAAATCTGGTGAGACCCCCAATACTATGGTCCTGGAATACATTCTGGGCCTGGAATAAAACACACCCCCAGGGGCTGGCTCTCAGCCCAATAGTTAACAAGATGTACATGCAGACCACTCAACCCAGGATGATGCACTCACATACTTTATGGTAATACATCCCTTAGAGCAATAGACCACAGAACACCAGAGGACCAACATTCAAATTGAGGAAATGCCGGACAAACAGGAGTGTATAAATATGAGGGGCACAGGGGGAGGGTTACAAAGTGGGGAGGGGAGGAGACTGGGTTAGGGTTGGACATGGTAAATGGGGAATGAAATTTAATGTACACGTAACATTGAATGTAAAACAAGCTCTTAAAATAAATAAATAAATTTGAAAAAAGAAAGAACTTTAAAAAAAAAAGTGACTTTTCACAGTCTGCATTATCTCGTTTAATCTTAATAATCCTGGGAAGTAAATTGAGGTCAACATAATATTTCTAATACAAAGGACAGTGGGTATTCAAAAGATGAAATAATTTTTTTCAAAACAGATCTAGTGCCTGGTTTTTGTTGTGTGCTGTCAAGTCAATTCTGACTCATAATGACCCTATGTGACAAAGCGGAACTGCCCACAGGACTTCCTAGGCTGTAATCTTTACAGGAACTGATCACTAAGTCTTTCCTCTCACAAAGCCACTGATGGGTTCGAACTGCCAACCTTTCAGTTAGCAGGCAAGTACTTAACCACTGTGCCACCAGGGCTCTTTCGAGTACCTGATAGTATAAAATATAACTACTTTTTTAAAAAGGTTGTGTGGGTAACTAAAGCACTTGGGTACCTTTAGAGTGTCTCTAACTGAGTATAGGGTATGAGGTGGACACCACTAGCCATCTGCAATGCACCTCCCCTTTCCCACTATAATCTTTAAGGAACTCTTTCCTCTGGGCCTGAATCCAGCCTCCTAATCACTCTGAACTCACTACTCCAGGCAGCCACTGTCAAGTGACTGGAATACTAAACCAAACACCACACCTACGGCCATTGAGCCGATTCCAACTCATAGCAACCCTATAGGACTGCCCCATGGGCTTTCCAAGGCTGTAAATCTTTACAGAAGGAAATTGCCTCATCTTTCTCCTGTGGAGTGGCTGGTAGGTTCAAACTGCTGACCTTCTGGTTAGCAGCTGAATGCTTTAACCACTAAGTCACTGGAGCTCCTTCAACTGGAATACTAGTACACAGATAAAATCTCCTCGCTTAGTTACCACACGTATAATAACACTTGTTCCCGACATTTTCTTTGCTTTTGATTTGATACTTGTACAGAACGGTTCTCACATTATTTCATGTTTGTACACAGTATTTTTTCCAAGCACAGGGATTCTGCCTTTTATTCATCTCAGAACACCAACTCTAGTGTGTTGTATGTAACTGGCACACAAAGTTTTCTAGACTTACTTGAGATAAATGTATAGTATTTAGGGAAAAATCTAAAGTTTTTTTTTTTTTTTTTTTTTTTAAGTTGCCCTTCTTTCTAGATATGGTCTAGATCAGGAGTTGGTAAATATTTTCTGTAAAGAGCCAGACAGTAAATGTCTTAGGCTTTGGAGCCAGATATATGGTCTGTGTGGTAACTACTCAACTGTGCCACTGTAGTGTGAAAGAAATCACAGATAATAATAAATGGATGTGTTCCAATAAAACTTCATTTATGCACACTGAAGTCGGAATTTCATGCAATGGTCACATGTTATGAAATATTATACCTCATTTGAGATTTTTCCCCAACAATTTAAAAATATAAAAACCATCCTTAGCTTGCAGGCCACACAAAGAGACAAGAAGGCAGGCTGGATTCGCCCACGGGCCAGTTTGCTGAGCCCTGGTCTAGGCTGGATTTTGCCCAAGGGCCAGTTTGCTGAGCCCTGGTCTAGGCTGGATTTTGCCCATGGGCCAGTTTGCTGAGCCCTGGTCTAGGCCTGTGGTTCTCAAAGTGAAACCTTTCAGCAAGTCCAACTACCTATATATGAGGCCAGGTTTTCTTCATATACTTCAAGCAAAACATCATTCCACAAAAGACTGAATATAGAAGCAAATACGAGGATCTAGGAATCTTTTATTATATCAGAAATTAAAGGGATTTGCAAAAATGTGAATAACGTCACTCTTCTCAGAAATCTTTCTTTTTAGAAAATATAGTTACATTCATCCAAAATGCTATTTATGCTAATAGATAATGGGTTTATTACTGTTATTTTTAAATGGATTAATACATATTTCCTAAATTCTTCAGTTTTGATTTCTAGCATGATAAATATCAATAGCTATAACCCATGTAAACAGAAGCTCTTTGGGGGCCCTCAATAAATGTTAAGAATGTAAAAGGATCTTGAGAGCAAAAGCTTGAGAACCAGCTGCCGAGCTCAATAAAGTTCCCCTATTACTGTAGGGCCAAGTACACCTGGGCCATGCCTGCCACAGGGTGTCTCCTCACAGCTAGACCTTGCAGGCGACCTTATTTCAATCTTGCTGTCACCCCACCTAAGAGCTGCCCGGCATTCCTTTGGTTAGATTCTTACCTGGTAAAATTTAGCCCATGTATTTATGCTCTTGTAGAATGAAGGTGGTAAGAAAGTGATGGCTATTTACATGCAAGATCCCTTCAGCTACCTGCAGACCAGAAAACACTGCAGCCTTTATTTACTGTGCTGAAATAGACAACCTAAACTAAGCATCTCTCCCTTACTTCTATTTTCCAATTTTTAAAATTATTTTTATTGTAATATCTTGCCTCCCCAACACATCTCAAAACAAACAGATTCTCTGGCTCATTTATAAATGATAGTCCTATTGGCCTGACTACACAAATATGGTGGCAGCCCGATCCCAATCAGAACCTCAAAGCAGCATTAAATTTAAAGAAATCAAATCCACCTGATAGGGTACAAGTTTAATTGAGAGTGCTACCACGAGTATACCAAGACGAACACTTGGTGAGTCAAGCACATAGATTTTACAGAGCACTTTACAAGAGTATTAATATTCAGCTGTCATTGGAGAATTAAAAGAATTTCTTAGGGAGAAATTGTCTTAATTCCAGTGTTACCATATCTAAGGAAACATATAAGGAAGTGTTTCTTCCCACCTACGTTGTCATAGGTTTACTAGTCTATCCAAATAATGTGTACTGCTGGCCTGGGGACCCTGCTCTGTTGCATTTTAGAGAGAATTAAAAAACAATAACTATGATTCCAACATTTATCATTTTGTTGAATTACATATTCTTAATTAGAAAGTGTTTCCCATGAATATATGATTCCAAAAGTCTATACAGTTTTGTCTTATGGAATATTAACTTTTAAATAATAACAAAGAATGAAGAAATGTATATTTTGGGGGCTTTCTCCTTCAATCTGTATAATAAAGCACCTCAAATGTCAATTATGATCATGTGCTAAATCTGCCCTATTTGTGATTATTGGCTCTAAACAGCAAAATCAAGTGCGTGTGCTTATTCTGACCAACAGCAAAACCGAAACCCATTAGTATCTTTAATATCAGAAAGCCACTAGCAAATCAGGACCTGTTTTGGGGATTATCACCCATTTGGAAGAATAGTGCAGCAAATCATATTAGAAAGATTTTGGTGGCTGGGCTGTTCAATGTAGAACACAAAGTAGAGTTAAAGTATGTGGAAAATGCTTACTATTTAAGTCTACAGTAAAAGCAAGAGCTCATCATGATTGCAAAACATTCCAAATTGTGAAACTTAAGTTATTTGTAAAATAGACAAAAGCAAAGCAGCTTCCTCAGCCATTTTTTGAGATCTCAGCAACAGTTTAAAGAAAATGCTTATATACACTAAATACAAATGAGGACATGAAAATGTACGTCTCATTCAACATTCCTGTTACATATTGTATGTAAATGAGAGGGTATGAAACTAATTTCTTTTTTCAAAGTTATTTGCTTCCCTATTCAGCTCTTTACAGAATAACAGTCTCCATCCTAAAGTAAGGAAGGGCAGTAGAACCAAATAGGAACTAGCATGAAAACAAGGAATTTACATAAAATCGTTACATAGATTACATGAAAAAGGGGGAAAGAAAGGATATGTGTGTACCTCACTATACAGAAAAAATATATTATTTCTGGCCAACAGTGTCTCAGAAACGCTGTATAACAAAATTTTCCCCACTCTCATTTGTAAATCAAAATTACATTCAGTAAAGAAAAAAAATGTATAATACAATTATTAAGAAGACAACAATTTTAAAAATCATATGAAATTCATAAAAACAAAAAGTAGAAGGAATGAGGTGGGCATTTGAAGAGGAGAAAAAGAATCTCTGAGAAAAACGCTGGTAACGGTGCCGCAAAGCAGCGGGACCAGAACCAAACCAGGTCATTGCACAGCTTGGCCCAGCAGTTTAACATGGAGATAGATACACACTGTCCCACTGAGGTTTTAACAAATGGGACCAAGAAGACTGAGAAGCTCTCGGTTCAAGTTGTTTTTCCAACTCCCCTCCTGGCAGGGACAATGCTTAAGGCTTTCTGTCTGCTGGGGAATTTTCTGAGCACTTTGTGGAAACTGTTGGCTTTCAGAAATGAACAGGCTGATTTGAATAAAAAGTTAGACAAAAATGCAAAATTACACCAATAACACAAAGCAATTCAGAAAGAATGATGAAGCCAAGCAGCTAAGCAAACTTTTTTTCCTGGGCCGGGGCAGTTCCTTCATCTATACAAGCCAAAGCACAGTGGCTGACTTACATTGCTTCTTCAGTTCTTTCAGCTGTTGTTGAAATTGCACAAATTTTTCATTATTCTGGAAGTCTGCAGGAGAATTCTTACTCTGTAACGCCACAAATTTCTTCTCCACTAGTAATTTTAAATCTGGTATTTTCTCTGGACGGTCTTCTTTTACCTGAGGAAGACAATATACTTATCTTAGTAAATGTTAACGTGAATGTTACCAAAGTTGTATAACATTTTTTATCTCATTGTACACGAATAAAAGCACAAGGAGGCAGAAAACAATCCCTCCCGCAGGGAATCAGAGAGGTCGGGGCTTGTTCTAGGACACGTTGAGGATAAATAGTGGGGAAAATCAAACATCCTCTCTACTCATCCAGCTTTTACTTTCTTAAGCCATCGGCCTTCAATGCTTCCATTCACCTGCTGTTTTCTGATACATCCTGGCGAAAACTGCACAGTAGCTGAACTCTGTGTCCTTCAACTTCACCTGGACCTGGGCATCTCCACTTCCCCTTTTACCTACGTCTGCTCAGTCCACTCTCCTCCTCCCACAGTGGTGTCCCATCCAGCACTCTCCAGGCCGTCAGCCTTAGCACATGAGAACAAGCCCTACTTTATGAAAGAAGCTGAGGCGCTCAAGTTGCCTTCCACACTTTCCTGCCACAACAAGGAATAAGTGTCCCCCACGTTCTAGTCAGGGAGCTCTGGTGGCATAGTGCCTAAGGCACTTGACTGCTAACCAGGAGGCTGGTGGTTCAAACCCACCAGCCACTCCTCGGAAGGAAGCTTGGGCAATATAACCCAAGGAGGGGTCACTATGAGTTGGGTCCGACTCCATGACACATAACAACAACATGTTCTAGTCAACCTATGTTCTTTCTCTGTTTCACCCAGTGTTTTATTATAAAATTCTCAAACACAGAGAAAAGCTGAAAGAATTGCATTGTGACCATCCATTCATCTACATCTTAGATGCCACAAGGAGCATCTTGTTAACACTTGCTTTATCACATATCTATCCATATATCTATCCCTCTATCCATATATCCCATCAGCCACTCCTCGGAAAGAAGATGGGGCAATCTACTTCCGTAGGGATACCACCTCAGAAACCCAAGGAGAGGTCACTATGAGTCGGGTCTGACTCCACGGCAGTGCATTGCATGCATTTATCCATATATCACCTTGTTCTTAACTTTATTCTTAATTCCATCTTTTCCATTTCCCTTCAAAACAAACTATTCCTCTTTCTCAGTTCTTTCCCCCAAAACCTTTCAATCAACTTGGCAATCCTATATTTGAAAATAATCTTTTCTAATCCTGCCTCCTCCAGTTATTTTTTCTTCAGACTCCAGCTGCTTGGAAAAAAAGAATCATTCATAACCTTGCTGCCTACTTTATCTTCCTCCAGCTTTAGCCACTGTAGTCGAGTTGCTGATCCTACTACTTCACTAAAGTTGTTCTTCGACAGGCCTTCACACTGGTTCCCTGAATCACTGACCCTTTCCTGATACTCCTGATATCAAGCATAGTTCACCGAACACCAGTACGCCTCAGACAGACTTCTAGCACAGCACCAGTGATATTCCCTGGCACTTATTTATTTTTCTTAATATGCACACCCAAGTCTACTGCAGCACTACTCACGATAGCAAAGAGATGGAAAGAATCTAAGTTCCCATCAACGAAGGAATGGACAACCAGACAGTGGTACATACACACAATGGAATACCATGCAACACTAAAGAATTACGTAGAATGCATGGAACATCACATAATGTGGATGAACTTGGAGGACACTATGCTGAGTAAAATAAGTCAATCACAGAAGGGCAAATATTATCTTAGTCTACTTTTGTATAAATTCAAGGAAAGATTTATATATGGAAGGAAATCCACTTTGTTGGTTCTCAGGGATGGGGGGAGTGGAAGGAAAATTGCTAGATAGGTTAAAA